TTGTTGGAATTTTTGTTGAAACTAGTGTAGAGATGACCAAGTTCTTACCCTTTAAGTGAGTCCTCTTTTTAATAGACACTTTGTATATATACAGTGGCGTCCAAAAGAAACTTGAAAATATATTCAACCGACCGTCGCATTAAAGCCTTGCACTACCTACTCCTGCAGCATACCAATTTAAAGCTAAATAAATTCTGCATCATATGAAACATTCATTTTTCATGTACAACAGGAGTTGCACGAGATATGGTGACTCAAAACTGACTTTTATTGAAAAAATTATACGAAATAAAAGAAACATAAAAGTGTGTTTGCGCTTGCATTTGAGTGTATTAACATTTGTGGAAATGTCGTGTATTGCATGTCAAATGAATTGAAAATATTGTTGCCTCTGCAATAAAGAATTTTTCTTTACGATATTTTCAGACAGATGGGAAAACAGAGAAGTCACAAACACCCCTTAAAACTAGGACTTAACGTAAAATGTGCCATGAGTATTTTGTTGAAGAGCCTTTGGTTTTGTGTAGAGCACCAACCTCTTTTGGGCATGGACTGTGTTAGTTCGATTTTGGACATAACCATCTGTCACCGAGGAAGAGAGACCACGAAGCTGCTATGATTTGGGGTGGCCTAGCTGGAATGCACAAATCCTCAATTGTGAGAATCAACGAAAGGCTTCGTTTTGAGGATTACATCGAGCAAGTGCTGGACCGTGACGTCGTATCCTTATTTTCATCTTGGTGTCATTCAAGTAGACATCTTTAGACATGACAAAGCACCTTCTCACAGGGCCAAAGCCTTCAAACAATTTTTGGATAAGCAAATCATGCCGACAACGAAATAATAAGCCCCGATATGAATCCTACAGATACCTGTGTGGCACCCTATTTATCAGCTGGAGAAACGCGACTTTGCTCCCACTTTAGATGCTTTGTCTTCTCTCATTGACATTTTACAAGAAATGGCAGAAAATGGTGTCCGAAATTAAATATAGCTCACAACCAAAGGGTTTGTGCTCTTCACAAAACTATTGTCTCCTAAACAAAACACTGATGAACACATGTAATGTTTAAGTCCAGGTTTTGCGTGGAATTTGTGACTACACTGTTTTCCAACCTATTTTTCAGACTATCGTATAAAAAAATAGTTTTTTGCTTACAAAAACAATCTCCATTCATTTGATACATATCTTTTCAC